AAAAAAAAAAATCTTACTGACCACAAACTTTTTAAAAGGCAGAGTACAAAATTAGCCTTAATATAAATATTCAACTATAGTCAGTGCAACACCTGTTTAATAAACAAGAATCCGATCCGGGACCTAACGACATGATATGCCACACATCATATTGTATAACTTTTTGTATATATATATTTTATCTGTTTTCTGAAGGCTTTTGATCATCCATGCATGACACGCGTGGGTGAGAAAGTGACATGCACGATGATGACACACACAGCTCCGTCTCCAGGGTCTATAAAACTGTTCTCCATCACCATATACTCAGATTTTGTCTTTCCCCGGAACACACAAAATACATCTTCAATTGCTTATATTTCACTCCCAGAGGACTAGGTGCCAGGAAGATGACCGCAGGAGCAGAGAAAAGAGAGAGAGTGCCGTGTGTGTGTGATGTGATCAGATACTGAGAGCAACCGGCACACACTTAAACACTCCCCTCTCACACAGAACTAATAAAGCAGATGGAAGCACTGTTGACTACACCATAATCACAGGGTTTACCAACATCTCCCCTCCTCATGCTGCGCCCTCTCTCTCTCACCATCTTTCACACATCACCCAGTTCCCTGGTGAACTCTGACATGTTAAGTGCACACCTCCTTGTCTCATCTGCACTTTTCAAGCCATGCAATACAGAATACTGTTTAACTAAAGGCTAACACACAGTGGAAGTGTTCTGATTAGCTTGTTGCAGTGTAAATGTTGTGGTTGGTTGTGTTATATACCTTGAGTAAGGCCAGACCAAAACCACTGTTCTAGATTCAACATAGCTCTGATTTTATCGCAAGTTACACATATGTCATGTTTCAGGAAATGTTATTATATTAGGCTTATATACTTAAAGGTACAATATGCAGGATTTTTGCAGTAAAATATCCAAAAACCACTAGGCCAATGTTATATATTTTGTTTAGCTGATTACTTACAATATCCCAAATGTTTCCAACTATTTGTAATTCGTGAGAAAATTGTGATTTTTAACAAAGGAAACGGGGCGTGTGAGCAGGGGTGAGGAGTCGCCACCAGTCAATGACGTCATATCCTTGTTACCCCCGGTTTCCGCCAGGTTTGACCTCGTACTGCAATAGTAACCATGGCAACAGACGTGAACAACTGGGTCGGTTATGCCAGTTATGCGTGCTTAACAGCATGAGCATCCGTAGTAGGGTTTTGTTCAAACATTATGGACCATGGCAAGCAGACTTTGAGACAAAAAGAGGACTAAAACGAAGATCAACATCTTTCGATCTCTTTCGTCTTTCGAAGATCTCCACGTCCGCGACTAACTTCGACTTGACAGAGACGCGAGTGTTGTTGAGCAAACAGGTGAGCAAATCCAACCCGATCTCACGGGAATTCGTACAAATTTTATGAGGTGGCTAATTCGTAACCTCACACGATTTTTGCAAAATCGTACATATTTTACGAATTGGCCAATTCGTATAAATTCGTACGAATAACCTACCCCTGACCCCGCCCCTAAACCTCCCCATCACGTGGGTTTAGACAAATCGTACGAATTTGTACGAGTGAGATCGTATGAATTAGTACGAATTAGCCACTTTTTAATCGCTCGTACGAATTCGTACAAATCGGTCGAGAGATAGTGATGGCAAATCAGTGTAACTATATAAAACTAATCAATGTTATATAGTTCAACGTGATGAAAAGTTAGAATATGATCTGTATGTTATTCTCTAATGTTAATCTAGCTTAGTCTCATACAGCCAACAAACAACCTAACTAACAACATTCAACACACACAAATGCCGTTTAGTGTGAGAGTGAAACAGTTAGAGCAAGTGAAGCAGCGCTGTTACCTCAAGTATAATTCTTCGAATAAACTGACCTGTGTGAGTAATTCAGCGTGTAGTTCGGTAGAATTAAATGTGCTAATTCCTTTATATCCGCGGGACTCGCGTTGCGTGTGGCGCTGGTATACGTCTAGCAATCGCGCCCTGCTTCACACCAGTCATCAGCCCGATCTCATGAAAGTTCGTATCTATGGCACGAATGTCATTTCTCGTGGCATTTATACGCCAAAAACAGTTTTTGCGTGTATATGGCATGCGATTTTCGCGTACATATGATACGCACTTTTTTGCGTATAATACGCACGAACTCCCCACCCCCCTCCCCCCTAAACCTAACCCAGGGTTTTTTAGTGCGTACCATATACACGAAAAAAAAACACTTTTGGCGTATAAATGCCACGAGAAATGACACTCGTGGTATAGATACGCATCTTCATGAGACTGTGTTGGTTAAAAACATCAGCGTATTCACTCATCCATAAAAGAGCCATCAGCTTGACGACAAGATCCATAATTACGCTTAATGCGGAATATATGTCATTAATATACGCCTTAGTTATTGTAAGAGGTTAGCGACCCCTGGTGGCGAAACAATCTTGCATATTGTACCTTTAACCGTTATCTCTGGGGAAGCTAGAAGACAAAATCAGCTCTGCCAACCATATAGAGATCTATTTCACATTAGAGCAACAAAAAAAATGTATATAAGATATAAATATATATCTTAAGAGACAATAGAATTTGAATTTGTTTGTTCTGGATTAATTCTAATAACATAACAGATAGTAAAATTGCTTTTTATTGTATGCTCTTCACAATGAGACATAATTACAATTTAAAAAAAAAAAAGCTAAGCTAATCAAAAGCCCTAGAAAAACAACTAATTTATGGCATATTAAAGGAAGAAGCACAGAGCTCCATACTCCACTCCTTCAGGAGCCAAACAGTTTAACCAGCTCCGTCATGAGACACTCTTATTGCCCAATTAAGCACATAAGAGCAACAATGAATCCTTAGAGAGGAAAGATTCATCACTCTTTGGATGACTTAGAAATATGCCTTAGGCATTAGCTTCAATGGCTTAAAAGCACAGTGGTGAATACTTGTCATTAATTTGTTCAGCTGACCAAGCAATTTAAAGTTGAAAAATGACATCATTGTGGTTTCTCCATATCCTCAAACTCAACTTGCTATAGAACATATATCTGGGGTATTTGCATTAGCATTTTTTCTTCCTCTGCTCGTCATTTATTGAATAAAACATTCACACACAATATAATGAAAAGAATCGACGTATTAACCAATGTTTGCATCTCTCCCTGAGCACAAGACGCACAAATCCATGCCTTGTTTTCCCTCTCGCCACAAGTTCAAGGCTCTTAACGACGAAACCAGCCGAAGAAAGCCGATCACAGAAAAAGACTCTGCTGGGCGCTGTCCACCACTGAAACCGCCTGAAACCCTCCGATTTACCATTTCACAACATTTCTGAGCTAATGACGTGCATTTTCCATAACAATTGCATCGCATTACAAAAACACCGTGATGTAATAACATAGCCAGATCAGATAGCCTATACAATGGCATTTTCCAAAGGCTACAGATTCGACAAAGGCAGGGCTCGTGCACACATTTGAGAATGGATGCGTTTCATCATCGAAAGATTTGCACTGAGCAATAAACTGCGCTTGCTACAGCTCGACGTTTAGAAAATCTCCCTTGCATTACATTATAACGTCTATTTATGAGTAGCATACATCATTATTAGCCTATGCATTCTATAACACACCATGTCCAGATGGAGACTATAAAATAATGATTCTAAATTAAAGGAGTTGCATTTAAGATTCGATTCAAATGAGCACGTGACATCCAAACCACACGGTAGATGGACAGATCGTTTTCAGTGAAGCGTAAAGAGGACGTCAGTGCATAAAAATGGCCGTGAGGAAGTTGAGCTGGTTGGGTGTCAAACCTTCTTCCCTCAATATGAGCATCAACCCGACACAGACTACAAAAGCATGAAGGCCTGTTAATATTGCACCAACACAGCCGACAGCATTATCTCCAGGCACCATTTGCCATATAAGCTCTGCCTTCACCATCCTCAACCAACAGAAGGCTCTTAACACCCTATTAACTGCATAGTATAAACCGAATGATAGTGGAGGGGGTTATATTACTTTTACAAGAGCTAATTAAAATATGCAGAACCTTTTTTATTTGTTTTATTCCTGCTTTTTAGACACTATAAACACTGGACTATAATAAAATACAACATAACCTGCATTATGAATAAATCATAAGCTTATATTTTATTGTGTAGTTGTTTATGTGAATGCAAATGGCTTCAAATGTATTTTAGAGCTACTAAGCTTAAAATGCTTAATTGAAAATGAATGATTGATATGTCAAAGCCAATTGCAAACAGTATATTACTATTAAGGGGATGCCTTTTAATACTGAAGAAACCAATACTGAAGAACTAGCTAAGCAGAAAAGAATATGTTAAAAAAATATATGGGTCAAATCAGTAAGGCTATTGGTCTCTACTGCATATTAAGTTAAAAAAAATCAATCACTAAAGTGATGCTGCAAATCTGAAAACACAACCATTTAATAATCTGCTGAGTATATATATATATATATATATATATATATATATATAACATTAATGCCTATATTTGATTAATTTATGACGTTTGTCATACCAACAAATGCACAGGAAGGAAGACATCAGAGACATCCGTAAATGCCCACAGGATGAAGTGAAATCGGGGTGGAGTGTGTCAGTGGACGCCAATAGGGCATTATTAACTATAGGAAACACGGTCCCCCAGTTGACTTTCAGCACCATTTTCGTGAACAGCACATCGAAGGAGCCTCGTCTTCCCGAACCCACTAATACTGTATACTACATACTGCGGATCTGCAACACCATATCATCATCATCATCATCATCATGTCACTGCTACAATGTATGTAACACGCTAGTGGATAATGAACTCCTTGAAAATATGGCGGACCTAAGAATTCGCCATCAAGCAATAGAGGGTGTGTATGTGTGTGTGGGTGGGTGGTTTTGTGTGTCTCACACAGCGCACACTGACTGATGGATGTCATTTAAAACAAGCCACTTACTTCATCTGTTTCACGATGGTACTTTTCCCAGATTCCCCGGCCCCTGTGGAGAAGAGACAGACACAAGGGAATAAGATCGCCTGTCACAATGAAGAGATCCCATACATGTGCATTGATCATCGGATGAGATACTGCGATGTGTAGGATACAGCTACATTTGAAGGGCTCCGCTCCGCATTACCTAGCAGGAGCAATTTCACATCTTTAGCAGCAGTGATTCCGTCTTCTTTAAGGTTTTTCTCGATGGCTTTGCTCCTGTCCAGAGCCGCTCTTTCCTCTGCGCTCAGTGTACATCCCATGGCTAGGTGAACCTTGGCTCTTTTTATCTCCAAAATGGTCCGGATGAGAAATATCCTCCGTGTTTCTTCCTTATTCCTCTCTATGGCTGTCCCTATCCCTCTCTCTCTCTCTCTCTCTCTCTTTCACACACACACACTCTCTCTCTCTCTCTCTCGCTCTCTCCCTGTCGGCGACTAGCTAGAGCATTAAATCCCGCAAAAGACAACGTTGGGCTGGAACATAAGTCTCTGGCGCGCGCTCTCGGTCTGTGTAACGGGGTCGTGGTGCTCGGTCCTCGGGCTGGGAGGTCTCTACTGGGCGGCGGCGGCGGTGGTGACTGTTGCGAGCGCTGGCATCGTTAGCGTGCTCACAATGGAGGGTCAGTATGGAGAGAGAACGCGCTGGGCTCGACGCTCTCAGACAATCTCGCTGACGTCAGGAGCAGAGAAGGAGAGAGAGCGAGCGCGCGCGCACGAGCTAGCATTCGAATCGTGCACCGCTAACTACAGCTAGAGTAGATTTGTGCCGTTATCTGCATGCGGAATAAATGCGCTTCTCTTGGTATTTCACGCTACGCGACCGCTGTTAAACGGCGTGTGTGAACACGATTAAGCGATCAGTGTTGTGTTTCTGCGGGGAGCAGATGATTAAGAAGCCGATGAGCGGGCCCTGACCACAGGAAGAATCACAGAAAGGTGTGGCCATTAGCCTAGTGTCGACAACCTGTAACAGCAACGACAGATGAATAAATCTTGTGAGAATGGGGAATTATTGCAATTGAAAAATTCAAAAGGGTCTTTTTCAAATTAGCCTACTTTATTGGTAAGTTTGTTCAACAAAGCCAGTAAGCTATAGCCCATGCATTATTATTCAATGACTTTCAGGAGAGTCGAATGTATAGCCTAGTTAACTTACAATAATTAAACTTTAAATGTAGGCTGAAGGTATTTTTACACACACACACACACTGTATATTGGATAATTGACATTTAGCTAAGTGATGCTAATTTACAATTTGCGTTGAGCACTTATGTATGTATAGCTTACATAAATACATGTAGGCTATACACACACACACACACATATATATATATATATATATATATATATATATATATATATATATACATACATCCTATAGGCTTATATGTGCAACACAACTTACACAGCTAGCTAAATGTAAATGATCCAATGTCAATAATACAAAAAAGTTATATTTGTTAAACCATAATATTATGTTAAACTATAATGAAGTGGTGTGTTCTTAACTTATGTTTTAAAGTTAAATCAAAATTGACAATTCATTTTTTTAGGCCTATTATAGGCTAAATGTTTTTTTTTTTCATGCACATTATTTTTTAACTTATTTTTTTATTAATGTGCCCACCCACGTAATCCCTAATAAAAAAAATACATCTCTTCTCTGATGACGTGCACCGCCTCAAGAGCCTAGGGTATTCAGCAACACACATGAGTTATATTTTCTTTTCCTATTTGCTGTATAGCCTAATGTATAATATATTTTGTATTATTCTTGTATAATATTTATTGTCATGTTTATTATTTGTATGTGACTGGCATTCAATAATAAAAAAAATAAAAATAAAAAAACTTGTCATGCAGTTAATGGCATCTATAAATAATTGGAGTTTGAGGCATATTTTCCAATGAGCCTGTTGGTTTTTTAGCCTTTTTTTTTTTTTTGGCCTACTGGCCTACTGCTATTTTTACATTGGTCGTTACTAAAACATTTGAAAACCATGTTGAAACCTAATAACCTTTGTTTAGTGCCCCGTTTACACCAAATAAGATACATTTGCTGCATCAGATTACTGAAGAATGCTAAATACAGGTTTCAACATTCATAACGTTTTAAGACTGCCCAATTAAAACCACATTAGATAATGGTAAAATTCTTTTTTCAATAGCTTTGAAGGAGACATAATAACCTTTGTGGGACGGGTTTTGAGAAAGCATGTCAAAACATGGGATTTAAACTTTACCAGGTGAAAAAAGAAGACAGGGCAGATAAAGAAACTGGATCTCTGAGTTAGCTAGAATAACAATATACAATATTGAAATAAACATTGGTTAAAGGCATTAACAATATTTTCATAGATGCACACAGATAACATATGGTGTGCAACTCAAATATGCTGGTGCATGACTGGAAAACCTGCATTTGGTCTTGTGGAATGAGGTTTGAAAGATTCATTTTGAAATTTAATTGCAATAAAAATTCAAGTGGCACAGTTTCCAAAACTCCTATCCTAAACCAAAAACTATGATATAAACCCATGAGCACGAGTATGGTCTAGAAATGGTCTGTATAATGAGCATGGAATTGAGTATGGAAGCCCTATTCCAATTTTATTGCCTGCGTATTTCAATTGAACTGCCTCTGTCAACACTTTCCAGTCCCCTGTTATAGTTATGAACTGATTGTCTGGGTCGATCAATGCTAAATAAAGTATTTTCATTACAGGTCAATTATTCTATTACAGTCAGATATTATTAAAACTGAGGAATTTAAAAAGCAAAATATAAACACACCAGTTTCAACTATAAGAATTGAATCTGGCTTGAATCAACCCATTGAACTGTAGAGGGGTGTCTATTCACACATTACACACAAACTCAGTGGTGTGATATTGTCAGTATTGACAGTAATTAGCTATTATGACTTGGTGATATCACACTGCAAAAAAAAAAAATGCTAAGAAATATTTCTTAAAAATAAATGTATCTGCCACTACTGTATTTCTAATAGCAGCCATTCAGACACTTGTTGATTTAATTTGATTTAAGTAAGGGAGGAGAGAGAGAGAGACTTAAGTGGGTCAATTTACAATCCCTCTTCTTAATGAATTGGAAATCATAGTTTTCTTAAAACCAGTGTATCCATTCTAGCATTTATGCTATACATAGGCGTAGTATAAGTAGGCGAATTGAGACGCAGCATGTGTCTTCCGTAAACTCTGTGTCAACTGATTGAACTTCAACTTTGACTCCTGGTCTTTTTTGAGCATATGGTGTCTTTATGTACTATAGTTATTCCCCTATAAGACACAGAAGAGGTGAGAGAGACAGGTAGGAGTGACTGAATCTGTGAATCTGGCCGTGGATATCCACCCACTCACCTTTACGAGGCAGTTTGCCCAGGCTTGTTTCAGAGTTCGTAAGCATGCACATAACTGCTCAACTCCATTACAAATGTCATGCGACTCATGTAGCCTCACCTTTGTTGATCTGTTTAAAATAGAGATCAAGAAGGACTGAAAATCTGAACGCTAAGATGATTTTTAGTCTGAGATTGATGCAATGTGCCATGCAGACACTGACCTGTGACTGTTTTTGTATCTAAACAGGTCATGAGAAAATATGTCGAGACGGAAGCGAGACAACTGACTAGAATCAGTTCTTATTTCCCATAATCCGTTACCTGAAAGTGAAATCTGTACACGTCCTGAAATGAAACTACATGTAGGGCTGAAGTAACAAATGCTCAATAGTATGATGTATTGACACTCCAGCTCTGAATTTAATTTTTAAAAAAGCTGATTCTTGTGCATTTCACACTCCATGGGTTACTTTTTTACTCTGTGAAAAGAGAACATTGATATTTTTACAGCAGCCAAATACTTTTGCAAACAATCTATCAAGAGCATCATTATGCATGAATAAGGGTCTACGGGATTAGACCCTTATTCATGCATATAACCACAATGACACTCTAAAGATGATTATGTTATCATGCATTAATGCTACAAGGCATGTGAGACAGTGACATATCATGCAAAGATACATTGCACCTTCTGCTCATTATATACCCGCACTGCATGATAGAAGCAACTGGTGCAATTATCGCATGCCAATTTAGTTTCTCTCGAAGTAGATTGGTCTCTCTGTGAAGATCCCATTTCTGGACCCCTCCGATGAACTTTGGAGTGACCGACACGAAAGGGAACACACACAACTCTGTACAGGGCACCAATTTGACCAGTGACAGCACTGCTTAGATCAACAAGAGTTAATTATATTCAGGGAATGCTCACATGTCATATGAAATTGGTGTGATCATATTGAATTAAGATTAACATCAGTACAGCTATACCCCAGTTTAAGTTCAATTCAATCTATTCAACATGTGTGGAAATATGTGTAATAATTTTATTAAAGCTACACTGTGTAACTCTTTTAGTTTATTCTTGGCTAAAAACACTTAGTTCTTTCAAAAATATATGTGCTCATTAAAGCTACAATGCCTAAGATTTTATGCCGCTAGAGGGCGCTACATTCAAAACGACAACAACGGCTTTGCTTGATGACGCCGTGGAGGAACGCGGAATGATGGGAACTGTAGTTTTCAACTTCACCGTGGATGAATCATAGACAGTATAAATCAGTCAGACGGGAATCGAAAATTAGTTGTCATGGAAGAGGTAAAGTTCGATTTCTATAACTGTTGCGTTTAATGACGTGCTTGTTTTTCATTAAACTGAAATAACCGCAAGAAAAGTAAGGTTTAAAGGTAAATTAGTTATCACAGATGTTATGGGAGAGCCGGGACGGTTGAAACACTTTTCAGATAAACGTCGTTTTCTAAGATACAGCCATTACGAGAAGTATTCGCGGTGAATATGACCTTACGATTTTTCACATCATATGCATAGACAAGAAGACATTCTAATAATAATACTAATTGTTTTGCATGGTTTACTGACATGAAATTTGAATACAGAACACGGTGTTACTCACCTGTCAAGTAAAACGCATGCAAGATCGGCGTCTCTTTCCAGTTAGAGTTTTTCACGAAGTTCTCTCCATTTAGGAAATGCCACACCGATGTTGAGCTGATTTTATTTCTCTTGTCCCAAATTCTTCTTGGGTCGTTTGGTTGACCCGTTCGTTGACGTTTGCATTTATGAGACTTGTCTTTGTCGACAGAACCAGGTGCAATCGCTAAAGAATAATTGTGCTCCATTCCATAACAAATGCGCGAAACAAGCTGACGTTTGTTGCTTGATAGACGCTAACGCACAACTACAACTTCCGCATTTGTCCAGGACTACACGCAGTACGAGCGGAAACCGAGGTAACGCGGATATGACGCGATTTACTGGCGACTTCCAGCTCACACGCCCCGTTTCCTTGGTTAAAATCTAAATTTTCTCGCGATTTAAACATTGTTTGAAACATTTGGAATATTGTAAGTTATCATCTTAACTAAATATATAATACTGGCCTTGTGATTTTGGGATATTTTAATGCAAAAATCTTAAGTATTCCACCTTTAATGTATATTTACTTTGTTCAAGTAATAAAGTATTCTCGTGAGTGTATAATATGCCATTGAAAATACATACTGGTAAGGGGTTCTAATGTCGGTCGCCATGTTGCCCCTCCATCTTGAAAGTACATTAGCCAAAGAGGGACATACCCGTTAATTTAAGCTTCACCTTTCGCGTTTACGTTGGACGAGGTCGAACTGGAAGACATGTTAATCTTGGACTGCATTGGCCACCGTAGGAGTTAAAACGAAATCGGAATTGAGAGGAACAGAAGATAATATTCAATGGATTGTCATATACCTTTTCACCACTAGATGGGGGTAAAAATCACACAGTGTAGCTTTAAGTTAGACCAAGAAACTCCAAATGTAACAGAGTGGCTTATGAA